ATGCATTGTTAGCACTATGAAATCCAATGTCTTGAAATCATTTTTCTTTTTATAATCTTGAACAAATTTTATATAATCTTGAACAAATCCTCTTATCTGAAGTTTTCATGCATTCAGGTATTTTGCATGATGTCTGATGTGATCAGTAATAAAGGTTGCAATGAAGTAGTAGCTATGATCATAACCCTAGAAGACAAAAGAGAGAAACAGTAAGATATTTATCAGTCAGAAACATCAATATTAAGGACATTAAATATATCTCTCATGTCACTTAATTTTCTTGTAAGTCCTGAAATTATTAGAACATGACGAAGGCTTATAATCAAAATCAAGCTTATTATACTTGTACTTCAACATTTTCACTGAACATTAAAAGAACAGCAAAAATAGAAGAAGAAACATTCTGCACAGCCTGGTTTCTAGATGCTGCCATTAATATGCAAAGAGAGGAAATAACACATTAATCAAATGTACAGTGTAAACAGGTGGTCATATCAACAAGGAATAAAATAATCAGAATTTAAAGAAGTCAGAAACATAGACAAGAAGTTTTAACTCACAGAAGAAACACACTAACATCGGTAAGACGGAAAATGTTAAAATACAAAATAAGCACACAAAGACAATACAGAGAAAGAGCAAAAAACCAGCCAAATGGTTAAACATTGTTTGGGAAGTCAAACACAGCTATCCTAAGTCTAGTTAGGAATTTCACCTCCTATGCAATAAAAGCATATCACATTTTTATTTGAGGAAAAAGGAATAATTCATTAAACCCTGACATCCCTTAGCAATAAACCACACTGGGTAAAAAGCCAGTCAACTATTTTGAAAACTATTCTGAAACAGAGAGAAAATGTAATAAACAGATCTCATGCTATCTGGTTAATTAAAACCACATCTAGATAAATGGAGAGAAGATGCTTCCTCGGGGCATCCTCTGAGTACAAGGTAAGATGACGCTTTCAAAGGAAAAAGGGAAAAATTAAGGTGGGAAGAACCTAAGGGGGTTAAACACCAGGTAATTTGGGGGTGGCCTCCCTTCCAAAACACAATGAAAACATAAGGTGAAATAAACTGAAAGGAGGTAAAAGTCTAAGAAAGATTTTTAAGTTTTTAGCTTATTCAATGGTCTCTGATGAGAGAAAATGGGAATTTTCCTAAGCACTTAAGAAGCAAAAAAAGCCCTAATAAAAATATCAACTGGGTTCCAAGGAACAAAGCAAATCATTAAGGTTTTGATGAAATCAGTAAATGTTCTTAATCTCTTACTTTCAGACATATGCAATGTTATATATCTTGTGAACAGAAGTTAATAAGTAAAGAGTTCCAGGTCAAAGTCATCAAAGTAACTTAAAAGCATGATCTTTTGTTTCCTGTGGCCAAATCACAGAAATGAATCTGACAAGAATGTTGTCAAAATTAAGGCTGAGCTCTGGACTTACTTGGTTTCACATTTCTCAATGATTAGACCAGCCCCAGTTAATTAGTTCAATTTAGAGCTGAAGGCATTTCTTAGAGAGAAACATAAAGAAAAGCATTTTCCATTCCTGTAATTCCTCAATCATTCCAAGGTTAAACAGGATCTTCAGACCCATGATTTCAACCCACAAACCCTAGGAAATGTAGGACCAAGCAGCACCTGCCAGTTTTTACACACCGATAGATGGCTCTGACTGAAGACAGGTCCGGATGCAAGGATGTGGGTGCCCCGGCACCCTGTGCAGCACGTGCCCTAATGTGACCGAGGGCTCCAACCTTATGCAGCTTCACAGCGGTTTAATGCCTTGCACAGTGTCAGGAACACACGGCGTAGCTATGACTATTCTTGTTATTATTTATTATTATTATTATTATTAGAGAAGTCCCAGGGTAAAACAAAGTTACAATTTTGAGCTCTCAGGAGTGTACCACAAGATTACGGTATATTCTATCTAAAATACAAAGCCAATGCCCGTAACTTCCACAGTGATATTTAACAGAAGATCCACCTTTACGAGAAAATAGAAAATGGCCTATCACGACACAGCGAGAAAGATTTTTTTTTTAGAGAAAGAGAGCGCACGTATACAAGCAGGGGGAGGGGCAGAGGGAGAGAGAATCTCAAGCAGACTCTCCATGAGCACAGTGCCCATCGCGGGGCTTGATCTTTCAACCCTGAGATCATGACCCGAGCCGAAATCAAGAGTCGGACGCCCAACCAACTGAGCCACCCAGGCGCCCCAGGAGTTCATGTTTAAACTGTTAGGACATACATACTTTTACTAGTCATAGCAGGGGAAGAAGGTCCTTGTTTGTTCACTCTGTTCCTTCCCAATCCATCTTCCAGAGATACAGGAGCTGTATCATGATGGAGAACTACCCCAAATACTGATAAAAGGTCAGTGGTCTTGATGACCTTAATGCAAATGTGTTCAGAGGCAAGGTAAGAGGGTAACAAGAATGGGTTTTGAGGATTTCAGACAGGATCTGGTTAGAAAGATGTCACTCAGCCACTTACTGGCTAACCAAAATCAGTCAAGTCACTTGAATATTGTGAGTCTCAGTTCTTTCATTTGAAAAATGGGGATTAATATTGCTTATGATCATCTCATAGTGTGTCTATGAGGATTAAATGTGATAATGTAAAAAGCCTTGAATTGTGTCTCGGACACAGTGCAGAGTGTCTTTTACTTGGGAAATGTAAATGTTTAGTGACCAGAGAAAAATCTATTTTTTTCTAGTTAGAACATAATTTCCTTGATTAAGGTATTAGGAAATGAACTGCAGACTCATAGAAATGAAGATAATTCTACTAGCAGAATTACTCTCAAGAATATAAAGATGGTTACTAATTAACATCCACTTGATCAACTATGCTTACTTTTATGAAGAGTTTTCGGGTTTTTTTGGTTAACAGCTTTATTGAGGTAGAATTCAGATGCCATACAATTCACCCATGTAAAGTGTACAACTCCACGACTGTTGGTATATTTACAACTATGGAACACTACCACTATCTAATTTTAGAATATTTCTGTCACCCCAAAAAGAAAACCCATACCCATTAGCAGTCACTTCCTATTTTCTAATCCCCGCCTCCTCAGCCTTAGGTAATCACTTTCTGTCTTTATGGGTTTGTTTATTCTAGACACTTCACATAAATGGAATTTAACAATATGTTGTCTCTTGTGAATGACTTCTTTCATTTAGCATGGTTTCAAGGTTCATCCAAGATGTATGTTGTGTCTATGAGGACTTCATTCCTTTTTGTTGTTGAGCAATATTCCACTGTGTGGATATACCACATTTTCCTTACTTCATTAGTTGACAGACCTTTGGTTTGTTTCCACTTTTTTGTTATTATAAATAATGTATAATGTAATATATGGACATTTGTGTGCAAGTTTTTATATGGACACATATTTTCAATGCTCCTGGGTATAGGGCTAATGAAGGGCTGTTCCGATGGTCACGCTGACTTTGGAAAGTTGCAGACCATGCCATCAGGACCATCTTTTAGAATTTCAGTTTGGATGCTTTAATTTTAGTTAATTGAGTAATTTTAGAAATATAACAATTGATGTCAGTCTCTCTGCCATTGTTTTCGTTCAACATACCAGGAATTAAATATCCTGAAATTCTTTTGCCATTATTTCTCAAATGTATAGTCAGACAATCTTAATTTTTTAAAAGAAAATCAAGCCTTAGGCTCCAAAGTCTATCTGTTCTTCAGCATCTCACTAAGGAAATTGTCCTGTCATGTGACGTAAACAAACCCAAATTCTATGTTTTATACTCATAAAGCTCAGATGATATATATTATAGATTCCAATTTTGGTTAGAAATTTAGGGCCTTATTACTACAGCACGTCTTACACAATACCCTGGTACTTCTGATCTACGTTATTATACTTACAGCCGGAGACAGGGCTCCAGCAGCCGTCACCGGAAACACAATGCAAAAAGAACAGGGGAAAGACTAAATACAGCGCTGGGCTATAAGTCAGAAAACTTGTTCACTCTGTTACATGATCTCGGTCAATACATAACTTCTCGGGGCCTATGAAACAGTTACCTCTTCTATAGATTGCATGATTTCTAAGGTCATCTTCAGCTACACAGTACTCTGTTTCTAAAACAAGCATGCAATTTTGTTCTTGCTGCTTTTGGTAATACCCAGTGCTCTTCCAGCAAAATCAGTTTGCTTTTTTCAATCACAGAAATAGGTTGTTGAGTAACAATCAGGTAGGCTCTTAATTTTTACCTTTCAAAATGAAATGTTTATTCTCATTTTAAACGACTGGTATTTGGGGCTTATCCTCGGTAAAACATATGTAAAAGGGGATTTATTAAAATCCAAGCTATAAGCAGTTTTAAAGTGACAAAAATAGCACTCTATGATATAATTTAGATTCTATCGAGCCTCTCCTTATGGTTGCTTCTAAAGATGAAATGCCAACAACATTTTGTGGAAGAATTAGCAGACAGCTTCAAACTACTGGTGGAAAAACTTTACTCTCTCATAATCCATTCTATAGTCTTTAATATTCGCCACAGATTAACAAACTTTAGTGTTCTTTTGTGATTTTCCAGACTGTTGCCAGAGAAGATTGATGGAGTCTGATTAAAACATGACTTCCCTGGTCGCCAAGGCAGTGCATGCATGTTGGGGTTACCTTTACCTTTTCTGTAAGTTGTACCAAAACATCTACTTAACTTCTTTCATTTGTACCATTCTTCAAATAAAGTAATTTGGTACCCCCCACCAAAAAAAAGAAGTTACTTGTCTGTAGTTTCTTTTTTTTTTTTTTAAAGATTATTTATTTATTTATTTGACAGAGAGATAGAGAGCACAGGTAGACAGAGCAGCAGGCAGAGGGAGAGGGAGAAGCAAGCTGCCTGCTGAGCAGGAAGCCTGATGTGGGGCTCGATCCCAGGACACTGGGATCATGACCTGAGCCGAAGGCAGACGCTTAACCGACTGAGCCACCCAGGCGCCCCTTGTCTGTAGTTTCTAATTAGTGTATCATGGGTGTTCTGGTTTTACCTAAGATTGTTCTATTTGAGTGGTAAAATCTCTACAAACTTCAGAAATTCTTAGGTAGGTACAAATTAAGTAAGTAACTTTTCTAAGCTCTTGCCAATGAGTCCAGAATTTTACATTCTCTGTTAAATTACTTGGTTTAGTTTTAAAAGAAGTGAAATAAATATAACTTAGTAGGTCTGAAATTATTCTCAGGATAAAGTAGGAGTAGACTACAAGAGGCTCCTAAAGTCTTTTATAAATGGCTCAGTAAGCACACCAATAAGTCAAGATAAAAGAGAAGATAAGGCAGTTAAAAAGAAAAAGAAATTCCTTTCTAAAACTCACATGAATAACACTTACCAGACAGCCAATACAGTGCAGGGCATTTTCCAGTTTCTGCCTTTGGTGGTAAGTAGATGGCAAATTTCATTTTGCAGTTCAATTCAACACTGTAATTTTAACCATGACAGAAAAAATCAATGCCTCTCACTGGTTAAGACAGAAACATAAAATAAGTGATTTAATGTCTAAAATAAGTGATTCCACCAACATTTAAGGAATATAACTTGGCCCTTAAAAAAAGAATGGGGCCAATTTAGCATACTGATCTATTAACCAACCTGGGTCTTTGCTGTGCATGGCACATAAGTCATTTGGGGGGGGGGAAATAAATTAGAATAAATGTAATACCCTCAATATAGCACTAGTATTACTAAAAGAAAAATTGTTTTTGTTTCTAAAGAGATGTATGAAATAACAAATCAGCTTTTATAAAAAATGAATTCTAAAGATATTAAATTATGTTTGTTCATGGGCACTGAAATGTACCACACCTTTAATTTATTCTTTGTCACTAATATCTTATTATAATCACTAATATCACAAATGAGGTAATTTTGATAAAAACCACAGGTATTTTTTCCATGTAAATGGTAATTTGTGCAACAATGATCTTTCATGGGTCTATTTAAGGAATCAAATAGATGGAAGCAGAATGAGAGATACCTAAAATTTTATCTTCTTGGTAGTTACCTGTCATGTTCAAAAACTTTCTGCAATCCTCCAAAGCACTTGTTGCTGGAAATCTGCTTCAATGCCATTCTTCTCCTATTAGTGAAGATTAATCTTATTAATTTCTAGAACATTAGTTCTTGAAAAATTTGAAACAAAATTGTTTTCAGATAAATTAGCCAACATACACAACTGTTTCCCACTGAGAATATTTTTTCACTTGCTAATTTTCTCTGGTAAATAACATTAAGAAACTGACTCACTTTCATGTACACACTTAGAGCTGTTAATGCATTTTAGGAAACTTTAGTACTTTGGTAGGTCAACACTAATTTATCCAGTTGGTTAACAAGCTTTTTTTTTTCTTTTTTCTTTTTGTGGATTGCCCCAAATTCTTTTCAGAAAGAGGGAAAGTATAAACAAGCTACTAATTAACTACTTTAGCTCAGAAGATCAAAAACTGTTTAATAGTTTACCTGTCAACTGTAACAAACGAATCAAAGAATTGGTCTTACTGATTATAGCTGATTTTTTAAAATGGGAGGAAAATGATGTCACCATAATGATTTGGTAACAATAAGCGGTAACATTTATCGAGCACTTACAGCGTGATTGCCACTTTGCTATACGTGCACCCAGACCAAATTCCTCATCCTATGAGATTTTTTCTGAGAAAATGATGCACAACTTCTAGTCAACAATTCTCCCTTTTAAAACGAACCAACAAGTAAAACATAAGTGAATTAAAAGTGCAGCTTATTGATGGCAGATTTTGAAGTCTGGTAATTCTTTTCTCTCAGACAAATCTTTTAAATGTTCATAAATAAAAAATTTTAAGTTTAAATGTTAAAATACCACACGTTATTAATTTTTAATAATACAAAAAAGTCAGTAAACCATCCGTACCAGAAGTGCCTGTTCAACAGAGAGGAACCAGACTGCTTATGATGCGTATCTCTCAGGAAGGATTCCCTTCCCCTCCTTATTATAAATCAGTTAGCCATACACACTAAATAAACAATCCTCAGATGCTAGGAATACGTATTACCACTCTAGTGGTCTTCTCAGTGAATATGTTCCACATAATTTCTACTGACATTCTCAGAACAGTATGCTGATCGGTTGTGGTGTTAGGGTTACTCTAAAAAAATACATAACAATAATCTTAAAAAGTTAATCTTGGAAATGTCTTTGCAAAATTCGTTTTTTAAAAAGAATTTTTATTTATTTATTTGACAGAGAGAGAGAGAGCACAAGCAGGTGGAGTAGCAGGCAGAGGGAGAGGGAGAAGCAGGCTCCCCGCTGAGCAAGAAGCCATGTGGGGCTTGATCCTAGGACCCTAGCTAGCTAGGATCACGACCTGAGTCGAAGGCAGTTGCTTAACCAACTGAGTCACCCAGGTGCCCTGTCTTTGCAAAATTCTAAATAAGATTAGTTTCAATCCTACCTTTTAGTAATTTCCTCAAGAAATCTAAATACTTAGTTTTGCATTGGAAAGCTGGGATTTGAACCAGGAAGCCTGACATCAGCAACCCTACTTTTTGCTGCTATGTTCTACTGCTTCTTTGGAGGGTCTTTATATACTCTCTTTTTTTAGATGCTCTGAGATTGACTAAATTTATAGGATTAGGGTTTACAATTACAGAGAAATTACCTTCTATTCACAGGTTTATGCATTTAATCCATAAGAGAGCAGTTCTTAAACTGCTCACAAATGTTATTAATTATTATTAACTTCAGCTATTCTTGTTCATGATCCTAGCTTAAATAATACAGTAACACAGACGTATAATTTTAGCATACACACATGAGACCAAGGAATAGAATTTTTTTGCTGAATTATTCTATAAGGATGTCCTGTTTTCTTAAATTTAGTAAGGGCTATGTTTGCTTTCCCAAACCATGGCACTCTGAGCATATATCTAGTGCATAAGAAATAACTAATAATTATTTGTTGAATTAATGAATAATTATTTTATTAACTTCTGACTACCAATTATGTGAAAGTTTTAAAAATCTGCTTGTCCTTCATCTTTTTTGTTCTATAATTTATGACTTATTTTTTTTTTTTAGTAAAGCACAACTAGTTTATTTCTTCTGCTTTTTTAATGTGCTTTAACTAAAATTCAAAATCAAGTACTTCCCCTTTGATCAGAGAAAACCAAGTTAAAATGCTGTGTTTTCAATTGACAGAATGAGCTGAAAAAAATAAAATCAAAGCTTTTAAAGTTTTTTCCTCTAACCACCCATTTTAGAAATTACCTTGGTTACAAATCAAGAAAAAAGTTACACTCAATAAAAAAATCTGACATGAGCTAAGAACTAGATACACTATGATATATGAAATAATATACTAGGTGATTACGTTCTTCACTAAAATTTTTCTATGTGAAAAATAACATAGTTTAAAGTAAGTTATTAGCTTTTTCATCCAACTTTCCAAGTAACACATAAGAAATAAAACTTAAATTTACCTGACCAATTGCTACTTGCTTTTTTGCCTGCACCAAAGGATAGATGATCCTGAAAAAAATGAAAAGACCAAGTGGTTTATAAACAGGACATACTTTTTTTTTTTTTAAAGATTTTATTTATTTATTTGAGACAGAAAGAATGAGAGACAGAGAGCATGAGAGGGAGGAGGGTCAGAGGGAGAAGCAGAC